AAGCACGTGCCTTCAGTTGTCATTAAGTTTCTTTAGGTAGATATTATGCAATGCTAATTAATTTTCAGTACGAAGCATTACTTTTTTGGTATACAAACAGGTGGCCGACTTAAAATCATTGGTAGCCGATACTCACAAGTTTGAATCTCACTACATTGCTAATCTTGTAGGTAAAGAACTGAACCACAACCCGATATATGTATATTTCTTGTTCCTCATTTTTACTGAATCTCCTTGAAAATTGGCTTGCGAATTTACAGGAGATGAGAATGCTTTCTTTGAGAGATCACCTATCAACTTTGTGGACAAGTTTTCCTGCCCCATAATACTATTTCAAGGATTAGAGGACAAGGTATGCGTGGAATCGACCTTTTAGGTTTGTCAATGATTGTATGTTTGTTCTTTTCTATTTTCTTCTATTTGTAATTTAAAGTTTTTGTCTTCAGCTAACATAGGGAAATTTATAGAAACTACTCATGAGAATTTAGCCTAATTACCGGATAAATGGAACCAATTACTTTTCAAAACTATGAGGTATTTGTTTGAAGAACACCCTTCATAGTGGTGCATTTTTCAATATATAAAAAACTCAAGCTGTATGCGTACTTTTAAGTTAGATTTTATTACATTATGTTACTGTTAGTCAGTCATGTGAAACTTTGCTATTCTGAAATCCTAATTAAGATCCAAATGATGAATTACGAATTTTGTAATTTTTCAATTATTTAAAGTTCTAAGTTGATACACTAAATCATATAAGATAATCCAGTTTGATTTGAATCCATATAAATGCTAGCAATAAAAAAGTAGTAATGTTATAGTTTATATATATATATTGGTATTTCTTACTTCTCTGAGCAAAGTTTTGATTTTTATTGTTTTCCTTGTTGCATTATCTTTTATAAAAAATTGAGCAATATTTTTATTTGTTTCTTCTTCTATTCCCACATAAGATTTTATTTGTTGAAATCATTGTAGTGTATTATATGTTTGAAATTATCTCAGACCTTCCTTTAGAAGTTATCTTTAGACGTTAGCTGAATCTATTAATTTTTAAACTACAAGTAACAAATTAAATAAAACAAAATACTATTAAATATTATTTATATTTATTTATATATGTAATTAATCATACTATGTATTTTATAATATTTTTAATACTTAAAAGGTTTAAAATTTTCGATTATAATGTTCGATGTATAGTGAAGCAACTTGCCCATTTTTACTTTTGCAAAACATATGTGATGCTATTATAGTTTTTCTTTTCAATCAGTAATTGGATAATAGGTCAACATGTAACTCATTTGTTTCTCCTTTAAATGTCACATTCGTGTCGAAAATAGTTATACAATTACAATCATTTTGTATATATGTTTTTTTATTTTAAAATATGTAAGACAAATATACCACAAATGTACCTTATTCTTAGTTAAGTTTATTTGCCATTCATTTATAATTTATTTTATTAAATCATTTTAGGTCCTTTTATTATATTAAATAAAATGATAAATACGTGCATTTTATTTTATATCCACATAAATAACTATAGTAGTTTGCTTTATATTTGTAATGCGGATGTCAAATCAAACACTATTGCAAATGATTGATTTGATATATTATATATAAAGAGGATCATAAATAAAATAATTCTTAGGTATAAACAATATATGATATTCAATAAAAAAATAAGAAAGGTAAAGGGTGTAAAGTAATATAAATAATTAATTCGAGAATAATAAAATTAAGAATTAAATTTAAAACATTAATTTAGAAAGAAATAAAATGAGTAAAACATAATTCTTTTAAATTGTAACAGTTCTAATTAAGAATAATGTATATTGCAAGCAAGTTAATGTTTCTCATTATAAAACTCCAATATGAATTTGTTTTATATGATTTTTTTTTTTTTTTNATGAGAGTTGGATAGACATTATAAGTACAAATTCTTATGTGAGGCAGCCCAGCAGTTAGGCAAGTCGATCCATCAAACATTTTGAACAAAGTGCACACTTATACTATTAATGTCATACTTTTGTTTATATTGTTTTTTATTTTGTTTCTTATAGTAAGTTATTTTAAAAGAGTACTGAAAGGCGTGAAAGGCGATAAGGGCAGGCTTAATTGTCATTAAAAATATAATATTGCTCTATGATATAGTATATTTAGTTTATGAAAACATTAAAAATAATTGTTTTGGTGGATTATATTTGATCTTTTACTTAGAGATTAAATGATTTAAATTAAAAGTTTCACTTTGGGCTTAAGAGCACATGTGATTATGAAAGTATTGTGATTGAATCATTTATGTGAAATGCCAACTAACTGAATGGGTTGCGTACCACATAAAGTGGAAAATGTTAAGTTAACACTACAAGTTTAAAAAATTTTATCCGTTGCACAATGTAGAAGAATCGTGTTATTATAAACTTTATATATATATATATATATATAAATATATATATACATACATGTAAATGGGAGTTAATGATGTAAATAGAAAATTTCCACCAAAATTTACTACTAAATATAGAGTATAATTATGTTTTTATTTTTTAAATTTTATTTATATATAATGCGATATCTTTAATTGAATTTATTTAATTTAATTGTTACTATTGTTATAGAGTTGATTGATTGGAAATTTGTTTAGTTGATATATTCGATATGATTTCTTTCATTATATTTATTTTCTTATAAATATGAGAAATAATTAAAAATAGCCACATATGTTAGGGTATCAATAATAATTTTGTCAAAATGCATTTTTACTTTATTGTACTACCTTTACTATTTTTTGCACACAAACCAAACTTTTAGGTATGAACGATTATTCAAATCGAAACTGTAAAACTTATCTCCATAACTAGTCATTCCTTTACTACCTTATATAGGTTTAAAAAAGGTTACTTTACCCCTGTAATCGGGTGCATTAAAAAAACATTTTTATTAGGTTTCAACATCACTTTTATATTCTGTTTCTTTTACATAATATATGGTTTGCAAATTGTTGTAGCTTTTTAGCCCCTAAAAATTTAAGCGTTGTTCCTCATACTATCTTTCACCCTTGTTCGGATTTACGATACTTATGTTCCTAACAACTTATCTTAACATTTGATTTCAATATTTAGCCTTTTGTATCATACATAATGCTACAAAGTTTGCAACAAAGATAGGAATCAAATATTACTTGTGTGGTTTATTTTTATTTTTTTCTTTTCCCTCCATATTACGTTATGTGTAAATATACAGTTAAACATAGTTAGTGTCTTTACTTTTGAAAATAACTAAAATATGGTTACTCTTTTTTTCGGACATGATTTTCTTATATATTAGATTACACGACTATTATTAATTTACAAGAATCCTATAACATTGGGTTTTTAATTATGATTACAATTTTGCCATTAAAAATATATCAAACATAAGGTAGTCCGTTAATTTTTTTACAAAAATCACTCCTCATTTTTATAATAGTATAGATGAGGGTTACTTGAAATTGAAAACTTCATCTGAGTACAATTTTTTCGCAATTAATCATCTGTAGGATCATCTCTAAACTTGTCAGACATGTATAAACTGATCCTACTTTTTATGTGCTCATCATATTCTGGCACTAATGATACATTCTTTTTTAAGCACCTAATTGTTTCTATATTTGTTTTGCAGGTTGTTCCACCTAGTCAATCCCGTAAAATCTATCACGCTTTGAAAGAAAAAGGTTTGCCTGTTGCCCTTGTGGAGTATGAAGGGGAACAACATGGTTTCCGCAAGGTAAGCTCACCATTTTATTAGTTTGCTCACTTTTTGGATGCTTTGAATTTTATCTGACTAGATTCAATTAATATATTTCGTGCAGGCTGAGAATATCAAGTTCACTCTTGAACAGCAGATGGTGTTCTTTGCTCGTCTGGTCGGGCACTTCCAAGTTGCGGATGACATCACTCCCATTAAGGTCGATAACTTCGACTGAGTTGTGGTAATTACTTTTCATTAATTATATCACACATCTTATTTTCATTAATTGCTCATGGAATAAGCACGGATAATACTTGACTTGTGTGAAACTCTGGGCTTTGGAAATTATACTGAACTTCAAGTGTTGCTGGATAATTTGTGGGATAATGTGGCTACTTGACAATTGACTCCATTAATACGCATCAACTAATGAAAATGTGTTGAAATGTCATGGCAATAGACGTGCTGTATGATCTCAAATATTATTCAAGCACAAGTTACTGTTTGGAACTCTCAGTTCAAAGGTATATGTCACTCAAGGTGATAATATCCTTCAAGTAAAATGCGAGGACACTGATATTAAGAACCAAGTATGATTGCTCACAAAATTAACTTTTCTTGTTAATCAATAGCCACAAAATAATTATGATCGCCATCCGTTCGGGCAGGAAAAAATAACCATTCTATTCAAAACCTTCTATTTAAATCCTTCATAACCCCATATGGAGACTACAACCTCATATCAACACGAAAATTTTGCTGAAAAAAAAAAAAAGAACAAGTATCATATACACCAAATTCTTAGTTATAGATGACCACATCGTTGCAATATGCATGAAATTTGAAACGTCACTAGAACTTCAAGGCTTGATTGGTTATAAATTATTTGATCACTTAAATCTAATTCATATTTAACTCGAGCAAAATATCCTCAACATTAACAGTATAATTAAATAATATCAATGAATCGTTCTGATGTAGGGAAGCATATGAGTGGGAAGGATAAAACGAGATCTCAATCTCAAAACTCGATAAACTCAACCAATTAGTTCATCTATTTATAATTTTTGTGATCCGTTGGTACTCTGGAAACATAAATGTTGGATAAATTCCAATATTAATTGAGGTACTATTTTTTCTATCTTCTATTTTTAGAATTTTAACATCATAGGTATTAAAATAACAACATCGTTCTCATTAAGCTGCGTTTGAAATATTTGCATTCATCTCTAAAACGATCGCGACGGTGGATAAAATGTAGGTTTCTATTCACAATCAATAGATGAAACTACATTCATCTGACGCCACCATTGTTTCTTCACTCTGCTTGGTGAATCGACATACTTCAAACGCAAACACTGATTCGAGTAGAAAACTAGCTTCACCCTGCTTGGTGAATCGACATATTTCAAACGCAAACACTGATTCGAGTAGAAAACTAGAAACATATCCAAGTCCGATTCAGAATCATGATACATCGATTCAAATATCTTGTTTATAGAGGTGTTACAAAAAATACTCGACCTAGTGTTTGTGAGCACGGGCCAACCGCCCAAGTCTGGAACTTGGCAAGCACTCGTCCGATCCCAATCGCTTCTACATCCAACTAATTTTGATTTACTTTTATACTCAATATTTCCAACGTTTTTACCTTATTTTTTTATTTTTTTTTACTTAGATTTAGTTTTCCATTCGCCAAAATGGATTTAGTAAATTTCAAAATTTTTCATTTAGGAAAAATGAATACTGCAATTGATACAATATCAATTTTACCTGCAAACCCATAAATAGAACATCAATTTTATTTTTATCTTTATTTTACCTTGTACATAGGAATGTAAATCATGTCCATCTTGTACAAGTACTCATCCCAAATTGAATGAAGCGAAATGGTTTTTTTACATCAATCAAAACCCCAAGAAACCTTCCAAGCAAGAGCAACAACTTGCAACACACACACACACACACACACACACACACAAAAGTAATTAAAAAAATAATTGGACATGTTCTTTTTCTCTACATCTGTACACAAACTAAACTTAAATTCAAAACCTGCCAAAATTTCAAGAAGACAATAGCTGAAGCTAACCTTATGTTATTCATGTATGAAAAAGGTATCGGAAGCTAAATTCATACGGCATTATCTGAAAGTAGCGCCCCAGAGGCTCGTCTTTCTTCCTCTCTATGCATTTCATTGCTTCTTTTCCAAGTTCGTGTGGCAATTGGAGGCAAACCCAGTCCAATAACGACTCTATATCCTTGGCAAAGTCGAGAAGATACCAATCCAACAACTTTGGTAAGGCTAAAAGCTTTCGAGTTGTTGAGATTCCAATGGCTGCTTGTATATACTCTCTTTTAGCTGTTTCCAGCTGGTTTTCAACTTGAGAAGCAGTGTACACCCGCACCTTCAATTGGAAATTTTGACAAAATAACTAAATTTCGCAAGAACGTCGATGGTGACTTGAATAAATACTTTCTTGAGGTTACATAGAAGTACAGAAATTCCCAATTTCGAAATTGCTTGCTTCCCCAAATATAGGAGATACTATCTTTTGTTTGTTACAAGGAAATAATTAAAAACACAAATATTCTTAAAACAAGGGTATTTTAATATCTCAAGGGGTATATATAATGTTGAAAAGATATAAATTGAACTTCTTTCCTGATATGGTTAAACTTTGCGGTAGTTTTTCTAATAATTCAAACTGCTGATCGATTACGAAATAGCATAATTATTTATTGGAATCACTTGTATCTGCTCAGACTATGAGAAATTACTTACAGCAGGGGAAGACCAGCTTCCACAAGAAAGTGCAAACGTTACCAAGGGTTCAGATAATTCCAAGCCAAACATGTTTCTTGTTGTCATCTCATCGTATTTTGCACCTTTAGTGAAAGCCTGAGAAGATCAACAAAGTTAAAATTGTAAAGAGCAGAGGTGACTGAAAGATTGTCACTTGACAAGTTGTCTTACGGAGTTTAAGTGATAAGGCAGTCTCAATATGAAATGCTCAATTGTTATTGCACTTAGAATGTGTCCACCAACATTCACCGTTGCCTGAGAAACAATGAGTCAATTTTTCATCAGCTTTGAGGCAAAAAACACCGTAAAGATTAATTTTTTAATTCTAGAAAACCATTCCCTCAAAAACAGAAAATTAAGTGGTTAAATGAAACGATAAAAAAGAAGAAAGAAAAATGAAAAATTACCTTTTGCATTAGTGCTACAACAACTTCAGGGCTCTCTGGAATGCCATACTCAATAAATGCCTGAAATAAATGTCTTCATTCAATCAATTTTCAAGTAGGTGTATTTATATTATAGTATATATAAATAAAATAAAAGACAATCGAAAGACGATAACAGAAAATCATTTTAATATGGTTGAAATAAGAAAACATTCATCACTGAGAGTTTAAAAAAATGGACCATATTAATAGTGACCCAAAATAAAATACAAGGATGAGTCCCACTTACATTCATCATGCAAGAATTGTAGATGTTTATCCAAAAAGCAAGCTTTTCTTGATGGGTGAGGCCCTTCAGCTCAACGGAAGCAAGTTTCTCAAAGAGAAGCCTAAAATAGATGATATATAATCAGCACCACCATTATTAAAAAAAAAATAAAAAAAAAATTGACAAATGGAGCTAAAATTTAGGTTGGTCACAAAAGACCTACTTTAATCTTTGAACTAGGAATATAGATACTGTCGTTTGATTCGGATTGATTGAAGTAGCTTTAACTTCATATAAATGCACATATGGACCAATGTCTCTCTTCCCAAACCTCGAACAAATGCGATAAGGATCCTTAGTCTCTGCCAACTTTTCTGAAAAATTCGGCGTTGACAGTAAAGGTAAAGTTTCTGTAGTACTCCTACTCCTTTTTCCGCACATTCGCAAGAAAATGTTCATCAAACATTTTAAAATGTTTTCGGAAATCATATTTGGACTGTCGGTGACAGATGGTATCATTTTGGAACCCTCATGGTCCTCCTTTACACAGTTCTCCAGCTGAAAAAGAAGATGCAGATAAAACCCGGAATTCATCAAACAAATTAACTATTTCAGAGTGCTGATGGATTATTATTATTATTATTTTTAAAATGTAATAAATGTGCACCTGTAACTTCTTAGGATCTAAACGCCTATCAACTGATCTGGATTCAACGGAAAGCTTTCTGGCTGGTGTTTTAACTGTGCGTAATTTTGAATTGGGTAATTTCTGCTTGGTTTTTAAGGAATTTGTACCAGAATAGTTCTCATTTCCCTGGTTCTCATCTAAATTACATTAAAATGACAGAATTTCAACCATATTTTCACCCATTTACTAATTTGAATCAAATACTGAACTCTCAGTTAGTTGAGTTTTTTACCAGAAGTAGAAGGTGAATTCTTCACCATAACTGCAGAAGAATTTGCTCCCATATGGCCAAATAACTTAAATTGCTTTGGTTTCAGATCTCCAGTCGAACCAAGGTAAGAAAGAGAAGCCGAAATATCAATGTTCTTCTTGGATGACGAAATGTATATAGCTTCCTGATACAGTCCTTGCCTGAAATGCACAACTTTTTCTTCAAGTCGAACGATTTCTTCTTCCAAAACAGCAACCTCGGCCAAAAGCTCGAGCATCTGACAAAAATCAATGCCAATTACATGAACCTTGGTATAAGTAAAGTATCCAAATGAATCAATTCAAGCTTTTTTCATTTTTCTCAATCTCATGGAACCTAAATCTTCAAGTGGTGGCATTTTTGTTTTTGAACAAATGCTGTTTAGTTTAATTCTCAATTAATTCACCTAATTAGTTGTAATGCATTGATGTAGTATGCATCTTCATAAAAGAATTCACATAGTTGCATAAATTGAGAAAAAAATATATCACGAAATAAATTATAGAGTACGAGGCTAACATCAGGCGGGAGATATGGTGGGAGACGAGGAAGAACTCCGAGTGGTCTCGTAAAGGCCCTTTCCAGAGCTCTATGAACATTTTCTTCATGTCTGAGTCGTTTCTTTAGCTTATCAACCTAAAACAACAGGAGAATAATAACTAAACTTTGTATCTAAGTAAAACTTGAAGAAGACAATACAGGGAACACCAAGTTAACAAAGACTTTACAAACTCACATCCTTTTGCAATGCCATCTTTCTTTCTCTAATCAAGCCTAGCCGGCATGTGGTAGTTTTTTTCTCAGCATTACTCATTCCTCTGCCAATCTGTGGTTCCACTTTTTCCTTCAAGTAACCATAAAGTGCAGAAAACAGTCAGCTTCCACAAGAAAGGAATTGTGAACTGTTTAATCATAATATCTTTTTTTTTTTCAAAAAAAGAGATAAAGATTAAGCTCACTTGCTCACTTGTACTTGTGTACTGTGCACACATATTAAAGAGAAAAGCCCAAAAGATTAGTGTAAAGCCTAACATATTAAAGGGTTTCATATGCACAACAAACAGATNTTAAACCCATCTTTTTTTTTGTTTGGCAAAAAATTGCAAATTACATGATACAAACCAATCCACAGGGCATCAAATTTCACAAGTAGCAGCCAAATACAACAAAATTAATAAAAAACAAATTAAATCTCATTACTTTTTTCTGGTTCAACATGACCCTTTCCTTCATAGGCTGCAGACTGCTCCACTGGTAATTTCACCTTTTGCCACTTCCCAGAGCAAAATTAAATGACCCCTGCAACTGCCACCATCATTTAAAATCAACTTAAATGAAGAGCAATAAATAGAGAGGAATAAGAGACCTGCAGAAGAATGAATTCATTGCAGACATTTTTCTGAAAAGAAAAACGACCAATACTGTTAAATTAATTCAAAGCTCACCTCAGAATAAAGACAAATTTATTTACAACTTTGGGTCTCGAAATCCAATCTCAAGAAATTTTCTTGATTAACGAGAACTCGAAAGCTTATACCTACAAAAAGCCTCTCTAAACACGCGCGCGCGCTAAATGAATTTATGTATAATTGTATGTGTGTTGATGTATCGTTCAGTTTTCCGAATTCAAGAAATTGTACTTAAATACTGTGTGGAAATCTTTGTTACTATATAATGTGTGTGCGAGTGTGTGTGAATATATACATACATACAAACATAGACTAGCTTTAGCTGTCTCTGATTTTGATGTGTGTGTGGGTGTGTGGGGAAGGTGGGGTGAGCCGGGAGGAAAGGAGGTGTACAACTGTATTTATCATATCATATCATTACTTTTATCTTTTGAGACAGAAAACCAGATAGATGAATATGGATACATATTTCACTATTTTTTTTTATATGCATTAAAATACTTTGATTTGGTTGGTTACCTTCGAGATTTTAAAAGTATTAAATTGTGAAGAAATTATTAACCAAATTGAAATTCCATGTGAGAGATTAAGTAGGCAGTATTTAAAAATCAACAACAGGTTATTTAATATACTTTATAATAATGACTTAAAGGAATATGATTGTTATTAATAATGATTTATGTTCTAAAGGGATATGACTTAACATATTTTGGTACACTAGTCTAATCTAATCATTAAACCGATTGACTCTTTATTATAAACTAATTTTACCCCGTATATTTACACGAAAAATAATATAATAGAAGATAAAGTAATTAAAAATATAAAATAAAATAAAAATCATACAGGAAAATAATTTAAAAAAACGAATCTAAATATTATTAAATACTTATTTATATACAATATTCGTGGATTTCTTATCGTCAGAATTTCCATCACAACAAATCATTATCGTCAAATCTCTTTTACTCGTGACTCTGAAATTTGATTTTTCAAAATATTTGATGTATCTTTGTAATATCTGGAAATACTTTTTTTATTATTGTATGACTTCAATAGAAAATAGAGATATTCGTAGTCATTCTTAATTAGTTGTGAAATATGTATTTATATAATACCAAAAAATATATAGTATCAATATAAAATAAAAATATTATGTATTTAGGACATAAAAAAAGCGTTACATAAATTGGCACCATCCAAAATATGACCTATCAAAATAAATTGTGTAACTGAAAGTTACATATTATTATTAAATGGTGAACTATTTTTATTAAATGAACACCTATTTTTATTAAATCAACTCATATTATTATTAATTGTTGGCTGAATAAATTTTAATGAATCTTGCTAGTAATTATATATATATATATATATAGATATATATACTTTTACTAGAAAGCATAACAATTTATAAAATAACATAATAAAAAAATATAATATTTAATAGCATAAATATATATTTTTATTCACAATATATAAGATGACGGCCTCTCTAATAATTAGGACTTCTCACACTAAAATTTGTGATGTAATAATAGCTAAAGCAAACATAATTTGCTTCATTCTCTATCTTCTTTTTTTTAGGAACTTAAAATTGACCAATCTTGTAATTCTTTACATTGAATGTTATTTTCTCTCAAATGAAATGTAAAATAAGTTTAGCTACTGTTTATTCGTTACATCATAAGTTTTGTTGATGGTCGATTTCGACAAAAAGATTATAAAGCAGTAATATGTCTTGATATGTAGATTTATATCAATGTTTAATCAAGAATTATGTATGGATTAAGAAAATAAAATCGTGGGATGCTAGAGGATTCTCTAGTGAAGGTATGAAATTTGGACTTGAGATAGGTCGGCCTTTGAGAATTTCAAGGTCGGACCATATGCTTTAGGCTTTAAATGCTCGAATTAATTACGAATAATCATTGTTTGTTACAATGAATGTAGAGAGAGAATTTCTCGAGAGTTAGGAAAATTTTTTCAACCCACCCCAATAAAGGAAACCTATGACTATTTAAATCTAAACATTCTCGGTTACTGTTCATTCACTGTTCATCGGGTCACTTTGCACAGTACACCAGAATGACAGATATTTAATGAGGTATGTCTGGTCTTAAGTGGTGATTATCAACAATTTAATGCTGATTGAAGGGCCTTTAATCAGGACATTCCCCCTATAAGCCTATAAGTCATAGGTCTACAGAGTTGGTGGGCACATCTTATTGATCATCATTGGATTGCAAGTGACACTATTTTATTATTTCCTGACACTGAGTGCGCTTCGAGGTCCGACCTCCTGGATCTCTGAGGTCGGACTCCAGTCCCGCATTAGGATAAGTTTCTTCCTTCTTGCCGTGAGCTCGGAATTTTTTCTTGCTTCAAGCTTGGATTGTCTCGTTGCCTTGCTTGTTTTTCTAATGTCTGCCTATTTTCAGGCTCAGACCGCCCACAACTGTGGGGCCAACCTGGACGTCGGGTCTCTAAGGACCGACCTAGGAGCTCTGCTTTCGAGGATTATTTGTTTGTTAAGCTCTTGATTTATACTTTCTAACCCGAACGCCAACATACAGGCCCCCGAGCTCAGATGGAAGGTATGTGACATTTCTTCTGATGTCGTATTTCTTAAAGATATCATTCTGGTTGGCCAGGATCTGCCCTCAATAGGACGTGTGCATCTAACTCGCGCAGATTCTCACTGTAGAGGTGACATAATTTGAAGAGATTCGTTACTTGTGGCGTGTCTGAAACGCTTGGGTTTCCTTTCTCAATAGTCGTACCGCTTTGATCGCCCATCCGCGTGGCGCTGAATCTGATCGTAGATTTATTTTTGAATTTTCGAATGCGAAAGGNGCTTGGCCCTCCGTATAAATATGAGGTTTTAGGGAGTTTTCAGACTTTCTTTACTTTGTGATTTCGAGCCTCATATAATTTCAGAGCGAAAAAACGACTTCCACCATTAAAGAGTTCTTCAAGCTTCTGTAGACTTCGTTTTCTCCGGTAATTTCCATCTTTAACTCGAACCTTTTAATTTTATTTCATTATTATGTGGACACCCCCACACGTAGTCACCAATTTACGCTTCACCAATGATGGGATGACCCCCGAAATAGGCGAGATGGTGGTTTACTTGTCGTCGGCGGCGGCGCTTAGGGTCATTGAGGGAAAAGTGACGGCGGCAACATCGGTCACGGTCGTGATGATGGTAGAATCGGTGGTGGAGACGCCTACGAGATTGGAGGGGAGATCGACATCAGAGTCGTCGGCGCAGGGTGTGAGCGGCACGGGCGGTCTCGACTTGAACTAGCCCGTTGACTTAGATGAGGATGATGAGGTGGACATAGGTTTGGTGGAGGAGACACTCCGAGGGGATACTCATGTTCGAGAACGGGTCTCTTTGGCCAGAGGCGACCGTGAGGGTGACCAGATGCTTGAGGATGTTACGGCCGCACTGAACGGCTTCTGGCGCTGACCTGCTGGCATGTGGCCGGAACCCAGTGAGTTGAAGTTGTTGGTGTGTATATTGAAAGCTTGGCTTTTTGTTAACACTAATCCCATTTGAATAAGAATTAATGTTTAATTAAACATGTTATATGTTATGTTGTTTTGCACTTAGATAAATAGTTCATCATGGATGGACTGAGGATCATTTATCGCTTACTTACGAAACATAAAGAAACTCGTTCACACCCTATATGGAAATTGAACAAGCCATCAGAACAGTTGTAATGTCAACGGTACAGTTGGTCTTGACTGATTAGTTGCACTAGTACAATTGTATACTGAACAAGATCCTAGAGAGGAGCATGTTGTTTTATACTGATCGTCATAAACGAACTAGGCTTCGGCTGTAACGCCACGTTGTTTTTAAAGGAAAAATATCGAATTTTCAAAAATAGGAATAAATTTTTTCAAAATTCATTATCCAATTAAAATCTTTTTCCGGGCATTACTCCATATCAAACAATCATTTTCACATAGCTTAAGACACAACTTAAACCAAATAACATACACATAACAGCAAACGAGATATACCAATACCCACAATCTCGAATCATAAGTTATACCAGAACAATAAATCCCGATAATCAATGACATAATCTCGAATCAAAACCAAACGTATCCAGTTCAACATATCTAAATTAAACACACAAGTTTTTGGAAATAAATAATAAATATAAGCAGAAGCAAGTACACAGTTCATAATAACAATAAAACATGACCCCACTAGCCCGTCTTTCGCTACAACCACCAGCTCAACCTGAAAAGAGGAAAAATANNTGTGAGCAAGCCAATTAGCTCACCGTGGAAATACCATGCAGTCTATTAAGTATAATGACTTAAAATCATAATCGCAACATGAACACAAATAATCTAGTCTACCACCTATGCTCCCTACGTTAGTGTGTACACCTCTAACCGTCGGGACAAGCCCATTCACGGGAGCTAAACCGTCGGAACTCCATCAACGGGAGAATACTCTCATTAGGCACAAATAGGAGAACGTCGAAACTCCATCAACGTGAGAACCTCTCGTAGACTAATGGTTCACATGCATACATTGATTATCAAGCCAAGTAATTATAAAGAATAACATACACGTCAAAGGTTTATCAACACCCACCTGGTCTAGATGATGCTGAAATTGAAGATTCTGCCCTCAGTCGCTCGAGGTCTCGGCTCCTCGAAATCTACAGTTTAGGGCAATACGTTCTTTTAAATAATTTGCCCTTAAACTCAGAAAACTCACTGAATTTGTCATAATCAATAACTTTATTGATTAAGCACTTCTAACAAATTAGTAGAACTCAGAACCCTTGGAAAAAGGCTCGGAATGTTCTCTAGCTTAACTAAGGTTCGACACGAAGAACGGGTCATACAGCTCAAAAATAGTTTAACGACTCGGTGTTAGGCTCACGGTTCGACGATATTTTCAAGGCACAAATCAAAGGTTCAATACCACGGATAACATCCACAAGTCCAAAGGCGAAAGAGATTATAATTTTCAAAGGTTCACAAGGGACTCAACAATACCAAAACTCAAGGTCTTATCAAGGTTCATGAATGATTTTTTCTCGTATTTTTCCAAGAGTTTAATCAATACATTCACATCACACTTGACAACCAAATAAGGCTAAGTTGACGACACCGACATGAGTTCCCATGTCCACTAAAATTTCACAATTAACACGATTTAAACTGCGATCGCAAGATCCGAATATCCACGTTTTCACGAGATAAACACATAATAAATATCACCCTATATATTCTCTGTAATAGCCCAGTTCTATATTAATAAAAATGACAGTTTTTGGTTCCAAGTTGAACTATTTATTTTTATTAATACTGCTCGTCTTGAGTTCCGAGACCAGTTATCAGCTATTCAATCTCAGTTATTAATTCCGGTCCATTTATTTTAGCAATGGATTTTATTCAGTCGGAATTAATATTTCAAGTTG